GTTTTGAGTTCTGAAACTTACAGGATGTTTTTTTATGGTACAGTGACCTCTTATATGTCAAAAGATCAAGGAACTTTTGATTTCTCAGTTCATGGCCCCTTTAATGAATTTGTTCCACTTGTGTCTGCTTTCCTTGTTTCAGCTGCAATCCAAAAAGACTCATACAGTCAATTAAATTTGTACTGCTTCACTCATGTACTTAGCTGCATTCTTTATATTGCGACAGACCTGTCAATAAACCCAGCCATCGTGTCCATCTGCCCTCCGTTGAGTCCTGTGACAAGACCAGACAGCCTAACCAGGAATTTAGCAGGGTCTACACCGCAGAGGATTGGCTATACCTGTTGATACTCACCTATATTGTCCCATTGTCTGCTCCTTTGCTCTCTGCAGTGTATTTTCCCCACTTGTCTGGAATCCTCATGTCCTCATCACACCTGCAATTCAAATAAATTTTACAGTTGTGTTATGCTTTGTGTACCACTTGAAGGATCTACTCACATGCATTCTGTGTACTGCCATAAACCGGTCAATAAAACTGGCCATCCAGTCCATCTTCTATGCTCCTCTGAGTCCTGTAACAGAAGACCAGACCACCTAACCAGCAATTTAGCAGGGTCCACATCTAACCACAGAGGATTGGCTAACCTTTGGCTCTACATGATGCCCTTCGGCCCTCTGTCCCTTCAGGGCATCCCACTTGTGGTCTCTTCTTCCACCAGCTCACATTTGATAGTCACCCATGAACCCTGGTTTCTGCAACCTCCTTCTCTCCTTCTTTCGAGGAAAGAGGGGCAGCCATCTGCTTCCCGCGATTCAGGATCCGCCGCTGCTGAAGCACGGAGGAGAATGAACTCGTGGGGATCGCATGTGGATCTGGCCGATGAGTTTGAAGAGGGGTTTTCCCTCTCGTGATCGTCGGCTGTGGATGAGAGTGAGCCGCTGGAGGATGACGTTTTTTCATTAACATTGTCTGATCCAAGGGCCAGTGCTCTGCTGGAAAGCAGGAAAATGTCTGAAGAGTGCAAGAAGCTGAGGCTGAGCTTTCCCAATCCCCCTGCCCTGCGTATGATGAGCTTTTGAAAGTTATGAATCGCGCCACGGCGAGGCTTTATTTGCCGTGAAGCGGGCGAAGAAAATGACGTTGGAGGTAGCTGAGTGCGGGCAAAGGCGCGCTCAGCGGCCTTTACGAAGGTCCAGGTCTGAGCCCGAACAACCCAAGGGGTCCTGGCCCGTCTCGGTTTGAGGATCAGAGATGGGCACAAAAGGCTAGTGTCGCGGCTCGCACTCCTCCCCCGCCCGCGGATAGGGGTAGGAATAATCGCGGGTCAAAGGAAGGTAGGTAAAAGACCTAAGGGATGTGATCCAGACAGGGCGTCAGCGCTTTTTCCGGATCAGAGTGATACCTCAGTATCTACTAATTTCCTTCGGTGGTCTTACATCTGCCCTTATCTTCCCCTTCCTAATTCCCCTGTATCCACCATCTCTCCACCTGACCAAGGTTAGGTGGGAATTTCCTGCATTACAGTCTCCTATGCAGGACCTATGATGTTTGGTTGGTTCTTTATTTTTTTTTAAAGAAAAACCCGACCTGAGACAGACCCGATGATATTAGACCCGAGTCCGACCTGCTGGCATTTATTTTCGAACCCGACTGGAGCCGAACGTAAACGGCATTGACGTGTGTACAGCCTGCACCTCGCAGTCAGTCAGGAAAAATCCCGGTGTCCTGCGGACTGATTTGGCTGCTTTTCTATAACTTTGATTTAACTTTTATCCATTTTTTTATTAGGCTACTTTATATTAGTGCCTGCCTGATGGATACGTTATTTCTGAGCTCGGCTTTCAATTGTGACCAGTGGATTTGAAAAATAAACGTGACCGTTTTATAAAAAATAAATCGATAGTTCATTGATTCGCTAGTGTTGTCTGCAACCTGATCTCCGGCGAAAGGCTTCTGCACACAAAAAAGAAAAGCCCTATATGAACAGGCAGCATAATGAAGCGAGTGGATTTTCCTGATGGATCTCATATCTATAAGATGAT